TTTTAAACAATAAAAATAATACTAAATTAATAATTCTTACAAAATAAAACTCAAAATAAAAATCTTAAAATTTGATAATTAAATATAATATTACTTGATATAATAAATATTAATAATTCTTAAATATTTTTATTAAATAAAATTTAAAAGTATGAAGTGTCTCAAATTTACTAATATATATTAAGATAAATTTTATAGAATAATTTATGATCGATGAGAATGTAAAATTATTTTATATTTCTTATGCATGATATATTGTTTTTGTCCTATTTCAATTTCATAAAATGCATAATTTTGCGACGGTGCTTAATACAAACCAAACCTATTCTAAAATTAACAAAAGTTCTATCCTATCTTTTCATCGTTTGACAATTTGTAAATATAAATTTAAAGTTTAAATATTTTTTGTGACACCTTTACTACCCCGACACATATATTGTAATAATGAAAACTTAACAAAAACAATTTCTCTATTTCGGTAAAAGGGTTCACATGAGAATCTTTAAAATTATTCTTCAATAACCACAACGATAAAAATGAAACGTGAGAGTTTACAAATGATTTTCAAAAATAATATTTACAATTCTAATTTCATATAACAATCTATGTCCTAAAGAAAATCCTCTGCTCCGATGTCACAATATCAGAGCATAACCACAACTCAACCGTTAGCATTCTAGATGTCACTCGTAGCCGGATCTTCCTCACCTAAAATATCCACAAATCGCACGGTGAGAAAAGAAAACATCTATATATATAGCACATAAGAAAACACAACATATTATCTCATTATAACTTAATATTCATAAATATTTCAACATATCTAAAACTCAAAATAAAAATCTTAAAATTTGATAATTAAATATAATATTACTTGATATAATAAATATTAATAATTCTTAAATATTTTTATTAAATAAAATTTAAAAGTATGAAGTGTCTCAAATTTACTAATATATATTAAGATAAATTTTATAGAATAATTTATGATCGATGAGAATGTAAAATTATTTTATATTTCTTATGCATGATATATTGTTTTTGTCCTATTTCAATTTCATAAAATGCATAATTTTGCGACGGGAAATAATTAAATTATTTCATTCACACAAATTTCATATAATTGTACCCACGATAAGTGAGCTCACAATCATATAAAATTATATTACTCATGCTTAACAAGACATAATAAAATTATATTATGCATGAACAACATATGAAATAAATTCAAAACAAACAACTATTAATACAATTAAGGGTCAATTTTTTTTTTTAACTCAAGTATATATATATGCTACCAGGGAGAGTACAACATACTTACATGTCACTGAGATAACAATAAACATATATATAAAAAATTTTCAGACCCAAATCCCAAGAGTACAATATTTAAAATTAAGATAAAATTAAGTTTTATTGTTGGAATAATTAAAAAAATAGTTATAGGTAAAAAATATACCTAATATCATAAAATTAATTATTTAAATTTAAAATAAAAGGGTAAGCTAGAGTTCAAAACCAATTATACAAGTATAGAACAATAATCTATACTATACAATTATCCAACTATCAGTCATATTCATAGAGTCACACCACACACACTATATCCAATACTACTCATGCATAAAATACAATCCACCAATCATGAAGTCAAACACCACACTTCATCATATTAATAATCATGCAATAAATGCATCTCATGACAGATATCAATGCATATCAATCATCTAATGCGTCGTCACGCATACACCTAGGAGATCTCCCTAACAACAGTGTTGTATAAGTGACATTCCATCTTACCGAAACCATCCCAATCGTTTTCACGCTCAATGCGCCCGCTCGGTCATAGATAAACAAGATATAATCCTCACTCGGGTTTACTCGGATGATGTCACTTACACAATTGGAAGTCCAGATCTACCGTCAGGTATAGCATAGCTGGGTACAGGCTTACCACGACCTTGGCATGCATAACCAAGTCAATTGTGGAGTTCGCCCACTGACTATCTGCAAGGATCCACGCACCTTCCCGAGTACTTGGTTAATGGAATAACCCTCGACCTCATACCCCGCTCCAACACTAGCTAAGGACTTAGAGGAGACTCACCCAACCCAGTGGCCTATCTGAGCACCACTCTCCCAAATCCAGTGGCCTCCCAGAGCACCACTCTCATATATCAGTGGCCTATCCAAGCACCACTCTCAAGAGACTCTATGTGAGCTCTTCCAGTTCAAAAATATTTTTCCTCTCCTCAAGTCCTAGGCTAGACTCATGCCATAAGGCATCACATGCAATTATGCATCATACATCATACATGGTCTGCCCACCATCATGATCAACAATCATACACATGTCATAAGACATCACATGCAATAATGCATCATACATCATACATGGTCTACCCACCATTATGATCAATAATCACACACATATGAACATATACTCATGCCATATCATATTTAAACATTCATATATATCATCACTATGCATACATATGAATCACACCTCACCATACATCATATATCATACATACATGATCCAAAACTTCAACTTAACATGCATTAGCATCATTTCATTCATAAATATGTTTATGCCCGACGCAGCCTTAGCTCGCTCAGCCTAATGGCAACCTGAGAGTCCTAAAACTCATCCACGCCTGGTGCGTTCAACTCACGCTCGGTGTCCTTGAGACAGAGACTCCTAAGAGTCTCCACGCCTGACGCAACCAAATCACGTATGGCCCAACACCCAACCCGAGAGCCCTAAGCTCTTTCACGCCTGGCGCACTCAACCTACGCCTAGCCTAATCCCAATCAGAGAGTTCAAAACTCTCATCTAAACTAACAAATCCAACCATATGCAAACACAAAAACACAATGCATAGGCTCCATACAACACAAAACAAATTCAAAATCAACATGCACCCATCTAATGCATCAAATTCACCAAAAACCCCATTTTTCTCAAAACCCCGAAAAATGAGCGAATTCTCCGATCCAGCCATGGATCCTCAACTTTCATGCATCAATTGAGTTTCTAAACCACATGCAACTTAAACAATAAACATTCTAGCTTCCCTCACCTGAAGATTGGCTCAAAATAGCCAATAACTAAGAAGAAGTAGAATTCCCTTCCGAGCTCAACCCGGAACTTCAATCCTCCCAAAGCAAGCTTCCTAATCTGAATTTTAAGAAAAGACAGAAGAAATTAGTGATCTAGAGGAGAAAAGGAATCATACAGAGAATTTTGGAAGAGAAAGGAGCTCACAGACCTAGAGTCCTTCTCTCTAAAACTTCTCTCTAAAAACTTCACTTTCTCCTCAACCACACAACCCCTATTTATAGAGGTTTAGGAGTGGCCAGAACGGCCTGTTCCGAATCTGGAACGGCCCGTTCTACACCCCTTCATCACGTACAAAAATCACATGCAGAATGGCCCGTTCTGAATCTAGAACGGCCTGTTCTGGGATTCATCCAGAACGGCCCGTTCTCTATCCAGAACGGCCCGTACTCCCTCCAGAACGCATCGTACTCCCTCCAGAACGGCTCGTTCTCAACTACGATTTACAGGTCAATTTAGTAGTTTAGAACGGCCCGTTCCAGATTGGGAACGGCCCGTTCTGGGCTACTAAATCACCCATATTGGACTTTTGGGCCTTCTAAAATAACCTACTACATTACATATGCTCCCTACCATCCTTATTTTCGATTGATGCAAAGCATTATTTCTTTTAACTTGACAAGTGAAGGATTAATTTGATCTCATGTGTTGCGGAAAGCGAATCAAGTAGTTGATAAGATGGTCAATTTTGGTTTGTCTCTAGAAAATAATATTTGTATATATGATATGTTAGGCCTTGTTTTTTATTATTTATAAGAGTTAATATTACTCATACTTTGCACCTTTGTGATTTTTAATTGATTGTGTTGGGATGTTTTTATCCCGTCAATTAACCCAAAAAAAAAATAAAAAATTCAAAAGACTTTAAAATATTTTTTATTATAAAAAAAGTCTTATATTCAATTAAGATATATTTTTTATATAAAAATATTGTGATATTCAATTAAGACAATAAAATTTTTTTAAGAGTACATTAAAATTTGTTGGTATTCAATTAAGGTAATTAAATTTTTTTAAAGTACGTTTAAATCTAATAATATTCAATTAAAATAATTAATTTTTTATTAAAATATTGAAAAAATTATTATTATTTTTTTATTCAAACCTTATTATTTATGTTATTTTTTATTATTAATTGTATTATATTTTAAAAGTTCATTAAATTCTTTAAAATTTTATAATTTCTTAAAATATAAATCTATTAAAAATTAGATTATGAAAATGTTGATTATAAAAATCTTTTAAAAAATTTAAAATTCATTATATTTCTAAAAACAGTCTCATAAAATTCTAATAATCCAGTTACTCCTATTAGTTAGTGTGTGTTTGGTTCAAATTTTTAACGTGATAAATTACATTAAAATGAAAACTATTAATTATAACTTTTATATTTTAAACGTAATTTTTATTCCTAATGACGTTTTAGACCTGTAAGTAACATGTACTTAATTGTTTGTTACGTGAATTGTTGCAAATTCTATAGCAACTATGATTCTCAACAATAAAAAGTAAAATTAAAGAACATGATCGTATCTCGGATTTTGACACCAAAAAAGTTCCCTTATTTTGTCAGTTTGGTTTGTAAACTACAAGGCAGAACGCGGTTTGTGAACCGCGGGGACCAATCGCAACGATCAAATCATACACCGTTTGACTCTTCTAATTCTAATCCACAATTCTAGTTTCCTTAATGGCAAAGGTAATACTCGATTATAAGGCACCGTAGTTCATACATAACCTGTCTCTCAACTGTCACCTATCCACCCCACCATGGAGGAGCCTCTGTTACCGGGTACAATTTCACTTCCTTAATGGAAAATTTTCAATTTTTATTGTTGATCTTGAATAGAGATAACGATTTTGATTCTGGGTATTTTTTGTTTTTTTATTGGGTATGAATTAGAAAAAAGAAGTGGATCGGTTGAGGAGGAGAGTGGAAAATGGAGCTCGTATCAGTATGTGGGTCAAACCGGTTCTGTGGTGCCAACTGCTTCATTGGCTGGGACTGAGGTGAGTGTGGATGAAATACGATCTGCTGCTGCTGCTTCTTCTGGTTACTACCCCCCTTCCCTTCATGGGGCCTTGGTTGGTTCACCTGAGCCTGAGCCTATAGGTGGGTGCTCTTGTTTTTCCTGATTCTCATTTCAATTATGATGATTGCCAATGTTTTAAATTGCGGTAGCAGCCACAGTTTCATTGCAACCCTTGATATTATGGACAAATGTGGACCACAGTTTCATTGCAATTCTTGATATTGTGGGAAATTGCAGATAAATGTGGCTGAACTCTGAAGCAGTCACAATTGCAGTGGGGAAGACCCCAAAAGCCTTGATGCTGTGGTCGAAATTGCGGTCACCGACTGTTTTTAAAACCTTGATGATTGATTTTGATTTTGTCGGTCATTGTATAGCTACTAGCATTTGAGCTTTAGTTGGGGGAGTTTGCTTGTTTTTCCTTAGCAATGTCTTTTTTAAAATAATTACGAGTGAATTGAAGAGTTGCTAAGTTTTCTTATTTAACTTTGTTACAGAAGACTTTTGCCTGTATGCAAACCTGGATGTTGAATACGTTATTACTTGTTGCAGGGCAAGTTCTTGTTTATCAGGGTGGATATGGAGGAGATTATGGTGGACCCAGAGCCCAATTCCAGAGGTATGATCACGTAAAACGAATCTAAGGAAGATTTCTTTCATGTAACTTTAATATTGGAACTAGGCTGTTCATGAGGCTATTTAATGTTTTGGTTTTATTGTCTGAAAGAATTAAATAGTTGGTTTTGTTCTACAATGATTTAGACCTTACTGTGAAAGAAATTAGATGTTAGAAAAAAAATGATAGATATGTGAACGGGCAGACAATTTTTTTGAGAGAATGATGACCAATCACATTAGATAATGAAAGTGATGTTGTTATGCTACTTATGCATAAGAGAGCTACATTATAGAGCAACATGTCACCGAGCTGCTAACTCTATGAAGTGTTGACATTACATGGAGAGATCTTAGCTAGTCTTTGGTACAACTCTTGGCTTAAGGCTTTATGAATAACTCTTGAACGATTATTTCAATTATTATGAAGAGGCTTTCAACCATGCTCTTGATTGTTAAGACTTCAGGGATTTGAGGGGTCTAGCTTTTTGAGTGGTCAGAGGGGTCTAGATAAGACTTCAGGGAAGAAAACAGAAACAAAGGTTTATGGAACTTGATATTTAGGGGTTGATTTTGGTCTGTTTGATTAAAATGACCTCTGCGGAACCAAGGTATCTTTGCTACCTGAAAATGTGTTGGTAAAAATATATCTGATCTGGGTGGTGGTGTTATGTGCCATTCTTTTGGAATCTAGCGCAAATAAGTGAAATCATATATTATATACAGCAGAAAGCAACTAATTTATATTCTAGAGTTTATTTGCAGTGGAAATATTCCAATTCATAAAGATAGGTTTTTACTCCCTTTATGTGTTTAAGAAAATGGTTATAGCTCAAAAGGGTTTTGAAAGCGAGAGAAACAAGCAGGGTTGATCAAGATAAACCTCTCATCACAATTGGCTTCATTAAAATATTACTTGTCTTGTTTCCTCTAACAGCCAATAGGTCATAGAATTGGCAGGTCATTTTATGGTTGAGCATATTATACAGTTTTAATTAAAAAGTATCTTCCACATGTCAGCTGTCTCTATTCTCTAAAATGTATGCCTTTTAATAAAGTTCATTATGATATGGATTTCTCAAGTTCAATATTCCAGCACTGTATTGACAAATAATCTTGTTAACTGGATGATTAACTTTTAGGAAAATCTTGGATGAAGTGGAGATACGAGAGTTGCTCATTGATCATGTTGGTCATCGTTGCTGTTGGGGTAGTCGTCCTGCTCGAACATGGAGGATTCATTCGGTGGAAGACTGTAATGTTTATGTAGGAACTCTGGATACATTTATAGAGGAAAGAGAGATCATAAGAGAGACAGAACCATACCTTGGTGGCAGTATTGACGGAAAGGATAATGGACCTGAACTTGGTCTTTGGGAATTGGATCTAAGATCGCAGTTCCCTGTTCTATTTGTACCCTATAAAGAAGTGCGAGAAAAGATTCCTCATTCTGAAGTTATTGAGAAATGCTCTGGTAAATTTTGGATTTTCATCTCCAAGATTCACAAATCAAATATGTACATGTATATACCTCTATTTTCTTACTGTTTCCTTTTACCTCTCCTAACAAAACCCTTGAAGTTTTTTTCAGTTTGTGCTGGACGAGGAAGTATAGTCTGTGCTACGTGCAATGCAGACCAAGAACCTGGTTTTTATAAGGAAAATCAGATGACTCAGTGTGCAACTTGTTACGGAAGGGGTTTAATTGCTCATAAAGATGGTTCTGACACAGTGTGAGTAGTTTGTTTGTTCATATAGACAGATAGATAGGGTGAAGCAATGGTATGGTGCATATGGCTGAAGCTCCTATAGAAAATACAATGATCATATAGTCTTCATTTTTCTTCTCCTTCGTAGCATTGATAGATTGCTATTTTCCTTAAAATGATGTATAGAAAATCAAAATTTTGAACATTGAATTCAAGCAGGCCTCATTGCTTTCTGTCAAGGTGGATGTTTATACTTGTAATTCACTTATCAGGTTACATTTTCTTGCAGATGTGTGAAATGTAATGGCAAGGGAAAGATTCCTTGTGCGACTTGTGGGTCTCGTGGACTAATTAAGTGTGCAACATGTAATGGAAGTGGTTCTCTTCTAGCACGAAAGTTGGCCATTATTAGATGGTATGTCAATCTGATGGTACAATTGGCCATTAATTAGACATGCTTCTGGTCTTTAGAATAATTTTACTCAAACTTGTCATACATAATTCATTTATAATACATCATCCGGAGGAGTTACTTAAGCAGGCTGTCAGGCACTAGTTTTCATAGTTCATGTGCATTAGTAGGTATTATAATTTAAACCAGTGTGGTATGCTTTCAAAAAGTCTTTGTAGACTTGCATAAACATACCTCCGTGGTGCCATTTAAACACACGGTTTCAGCACCTATGTTTCTGTTTTATCTCTTTTAAACACAAACCAACACATAAGATGTTAGAAAGGACGCAATCAGTTGAGAAATAATAAGGAATAGAGTTTGTAGAAAATGGATGATGTAAACTGAATTACTATGCCACTCTTTGATGTTTAAACATTACTGCTCAATCGGTGTGCAGAACTGCAATCTGTCACTAAAATTATTGCAGACTAGGTTATTGTAAACTTACAAAACATCACATATGAGGTCTATTATATAATCTTCGTTTAAGAGGTTCATAAATGTCCAGTTTCATGTTGTTATGCTTAATATTGATTCCTTTTAGTGACAATGCTAAAGGAACACGTGTTTGCGCTGTTACAGGAAGACACTCTCAACTCGGAAAGTAAATGCAACAAGTGGAGCAGCATCAGTACCAGATGAAGTTTTCCATAGATCCAAAGGGGTTCAGTTGTGCAACACTCAGGCACACCAATGCACACCAGCCTTTTTTGCTGATTCTTATTTTCTCAACAAATTTTCTTCTGATGTCATCACAGAAAGAGCTCAAGTACCTGCCACTGCAAGGGTCATATGTGAGAGGCACACAATCTCTGTAGTGCCGGTAACTCGTGTCACCATGTCTCATCGTCGGCAATCCTTCAGTTTCTATATTATTGAATATGGCAGGGAGGTGTACTTAAAGGATTATTACCCTGCAAGATATTGTTGGGGCTTGTGTCCTTGTTTGGAGTGGTTGAAGTTGTAATGTTGAAACTCCTCATTCTGGCAGCATTGAGCAGTGTATATGTTTCATCTACATGTTTGTGAGTTCTCTCTTCAGATTGATAATAACAGAAGCAGATTTCTGGGTTTTGTAGGTTGTGAACTTGTGAAGATGAACTTTGTCATATTATCTGTTGGCTTGTATGGATCACAGCAATGTTTTTAATTTGTTATTATATTTATGAAACAAGGCCAGATTCAAGTGGAGTGCAAGTGATGAATTCTTGACGTTACTGTTAATTATTTAAATAAAAAGACAGTCCCCTCAGTTTTCTTTTAATCACCCATTAGTTTGTTTGGATCACTTTCCTTGTATACCTAAGAAGGAAGAGCAGTTTTACTCAAACAAAAAGTTGATTACAAAAATAGTGGACGATCTATCTTCTTTGGCAGTTGTTATTAATCTTTGATAGATTCTTGGTTTGATCATCTTTTTCAGCTTATCATTATGGCCTGTAATTTTCTTTGTCAAAAAATAAAAATAAAAAATAAAAATCATCTAGTAGGAATTCGAGTTCGATTTATAAGTACTTTATAGTGTGCTCCATTCCATGCTTTCTTGCCTCCATGGTAGTAATGAATAGCATGTTGAAGTGTAAAATACAGGGCCTCCAAACTTGATAAATAGCAGTTTGGACTATGGATTTTGGTTAGTAATTGAACATGAATAGCCTTTGACAATATGTGCAGCAAATTTTATATTATTGAACAAGCACAATCATATTTTAAGGCGTGCAACTTCGATATTTTTCTCATATAGTCATTTAAGGGCAATCAAAAGATAATAGTTATTGTCGTTAAGTATAGAGTTGTCAACCAACAAATTATTGATACAAGTAATATTAGACTTGGTTTTCTTAAGTAAAATCTTGGAACTGTGTCCTAGAGATGGAAAAAAGATGATTGAAAAGAGAGATTTCACTAATGGTGTGTTTGGATGAGGAATTTTACAAATTCAGGGAATTTAAAATTTTTAGTATTTGGATTACTTTAATTTCAATTTCTATTATTCTTAAAATATTTTGTTTGGTAAGTCAATTCAAATTTTTCAAATTTTAAATTATTGGGTTGGATATGGTAATTTGATTCTACCATGATAAAAAATTTAGCTAATTTTTAAATATTTAATAATTTTAAAAATTAATATTAAATAATATTTACTAATTTTAAAAATATTTTTGAATATTCAATAATTAAAAGGATGAAGAGATAAGAGATAAGATAAAATATATAAGTGAAATAAGAAAAACAAATGTGAGAAATTTCAAATTCTTATGTTTTTGGGAGAATTTAAAATTCTACAATTTCAAGGAATTTCACAAATACTTGAATTTCAAATTCCTTATAAATTCTCCATCCAAACAAGGTATATCACCTCAAAGAATTTGAAATTCTTCAAATAAATGAATTACTTCATTTAAATTTCCCATCCAAACATACTATAAAGATAGTTAACAATTTTTTTTTTGATAAAGATTGCTTATTCATAAAGTTGATGGATATGCAAGTGACCCTCAAATCCAAAAGTGTCATAGACATAGTGAAAATGAAATAAAAATATATTCCAAGAATGATTATAAAATAATATGAAATTAAATTTTTAGAAAATATTTAATTTTCACCATGTATATAACACTTTAAGTTTGAACTTCAATTGTACTAAATAATTTTTATATAAATGAATCTTACGAGATAAGTTTTAAATCTTGAATTAATCAAAAAAAATTATTCAAAAGAACTAAATTAACATAAATTTAAGAGATAAATGACTAAGATGAATATTTTAAGAAATAAAGTACTAAAATGAATTAAAAAAATAAGATAAAAGACTAAAAATATAATTTTTTAACTTATATTTAAACATAGTATTTATTTATACATATAATTTATTTTAAATTTTAATTATATAATAAACATTTAACATCTATATTGCATATTTTAAAATACTAGTAAATAAACAACTTTGTAAATGCAAGTTGCATTTTTTTCCTCATTTTTTGTTTCAGTTTTTACACTATATCTATAAAAAAAATGGAATTCAAATTTATATGGAAGGTCGAAACTGGTTTGGAATAAAAAAAATTTAAAAAAACTAGTCATTAGAATGAATTTGAAGTGGACTTCATCAATGTAATTAAGGGGTGATTTATTTTAACTATTGAGTGAATTTTTTAACAGTTTTTATTAAGAAAAAATAATAAAGGCAAAATATTTTTTAAATATCCTATATTCTAATCTAAGTTTAGTATTTAGGATAACAACATACGTGCACAAATAAAGTCATTTTAGAAACCAAGCTAAAAGCTAAAACTTACTATTACAACTCAAGTTATTTGTTATATTACCATTAGTTTCTGTTTTTCATCTAATTAGTTAGCATAATTTTATAAGAGATATAAAAAGAACATTTTGTATTTCTTTGATATAATTTTTCAATAGTCAATTGATCAAACATGAATTCCGTTTTTCTCTCTTCTATCTTCATATTCTAATTTTCAATATGGTATTAGGAGAAACTTATGCTTCCGCTTAAGCTCTTTCTTCTCCATCTAATCTGATTATTTCATTTGTCTTTACCTCATGTCTCTTACATTCGGCATCACTACTATGGAAGATCCCTCCAATCCTTTCTTCTTGAATCCATTGAACAACCCTAGTCTTGTTCTTGTGTCACAGACACTCACTGGGGAGAACTTCAATTCGTGGCATAGAGCCATGAAGATGACACATATTTTCAATTTTCATGTTAATTTGCTTTCTATCGGTTCATTACTTCATGATACTAACTATTCAATTAGCTTTAATATCAATTATGTAACATTCCAAATGTTTTGAAATCAACAAAATAAATTCTCTTTAATAAGAATTATGTTATTCTTTAATAAGAATTATGTTATAGGCTAAGTTAATTTATTGATTAAGTTTATAATATAAATAATATTTTTATTAACTAAATAATAATTTTAGATTAATTTAGTTATAATACAAAGAAATGCTTAATTTAATTTAAATAAAATAAGAGGGGTTATAAGTGGAGAGTATTTGGTGGACTTCAAGCCTATCTCAAAACCTTATTAAAAATAAAATAAGGGATTAGGTTTTCTTGTGCATCTTCTAAAAATCTAAGAACACTTGTAGAAGGAAACCTAGAGGAGTCCATCAAAGAGAGTGCGAAAATAGGAGCTTGGAGCTATAAGGAACGCATAGAATTGTGGGATTATTACTACCAGTAAAGAGGAGTGAGATTGTCGCATCCATGAGTATATATGAAATATAAGGGTAGAGAGGCAATCCGTAAGCCTCTTACATTGTTTGTTTAACTTGTATGGACACATATGGCTATGATTGAGAATCAATTGTTATTCTGTTATGCAATTCATGTATTTTATTTTGATTAAATTGACATGTTGATGAATTGATATATTTTGAGGGTTAGGGTTGTTATACGTATGAATTTGGGGCTTTAGGCTTAATTGGATGAATAAAGATGATTTGGTAATGTTGTGATGTTGCATGAGAACCGAGTGACTATTTGGCTGATTAGATTACAAAGATACAAGTGGATATGTGTGGATGGGATTTGGGGAAACCCAAATCTTGAAGCTAGTGATTCTACAAGGTGCAAAATTTGTGTTTGCCTTGAGTATGCCTTCATGGCGTCGAGCGTGGATGCATGGTTACCAGCGTTGGGCATAAATGAACTCACGCAAGAAATGAGGACGTTAAAGAGGTTTTTGACTTTCTTGTACTAAGCGAGAGGTATTTCACCCAACATCGCATCAGGTGCAACTTTGGTAAAGAGGTCTTTAACCTCTAACACTAGGCATAAGTTTGACCTTGTTAGGCACCATGCCTTCTTCTCAAATAAACCAAGTTATACACATAATTTAACATTGGAGGATTCGTGAGGGGGGATTAAGTATTATAATTATAAGAATGAAGCTAACAAGTTAGTAACAAGATGTATACATATAAAAGGGAGAACTAAATAGAACTATGATTGTAAGAGGATCAATAAATAATATATTCTAGCATGTATGAATGATGAGTATGTATGAGTGTTGTTGTATGAGAAATTATATTGATGCATGATCTATTAAGTTACTATGAGTAATGTGGTAAGATGTGGTGAATAAGTCTAGTATGTGTTGTAGATTGACAAATGAAGTTGATGGTTGTTGCATTTATATGCAATGATGTGGTGTGGTTGTTAGAGTTCATGCATACATATTTTGTTTACAAAATAGTGTGAGTCTATGTAGGTAAGTTTCATAAGTCATTTACTTACGCCTTAAGGGGGGCTATGGTGAAGAACCTCTAATAAGAGTGAGAGATAACCATAAATAATTATAGCACTTTGACAAGATCCTAATAAACATTCATTGGTTGAGGGTGGTTCCTATTAATCAAACTCAAGATGAAGACATAGTATATTTAATTTTGATAATAACAAATATAAGTTTCTTGAAAGATAATAGTGCAAATTACATTTTGTTGTGTGTTTAAGTTTTGTTGTTTGTAGATTTTGTACTTTATATGTAACTTAACCTTATTTCTCTATATAAATAATGTTTGATGATGAAAAGAAGTTTTTAAAATATTTTAAAAGGAGGATTGATTTGAAAAATCAAAATATTAAGTTTTCATTTAAAAAATTGATTATTTTAAATAATAATTAATTATTTATTCTATTTTTCAGTAAATTAAGAAACTTCATTATAATAATCAATTATCACTTAAAATAATCAATTAAATTATTTTTAGTTAATTTTTATATCTACTAAAAATAAAATTTATTACTAAATATAAATATAAGTGGTGCATATATAAAAACTTTTTTTTTGGGGGTAAAGTCAAAAATCCTGTTTTAATAATGATTGGAAAACAAATTTTTAAAAAAATAACGATAGAATAAAAAGCCCAAATTGTGGTAGTGAAGTAAACGGGAAAATGAACCCATCATCGAAAGGCTCCAAACAAAACCCTAGGCTTCTACGCGCTTCTTTAAATTCGCAGAACGCACACGCCGCAGGTAAACATTTACGCTAAAATCCTCTTTCCCTTTGTTCGCGTCTTAGATTCATTCGGAATTCGAAGAATCAAATCTGAGGTTCAAACCTACGATTTCGTCTTTCAAATTTCAATCATCTTTTAGGGTACTTATGCATCTCTGTTTTACGAGCATCAGTGATGAGCAATTCCAATATGTTATCCTTGCACTTTGATTACTAGTGAAGAAGCTAATGGGGAATGATTACTCTGAGATGCTCTTTCTTTTAT